CACATGTGACCACCCCACCACTCCATTGTACTGTACATGCAGTACATCACCACGACTAGCCATGTCATATCGACTCTGTGTTTCCTCTAAATCGATCACCAACGGCCACCAAGTTTTCACACTACTTTGTTCACTAGAAGGGTGTTTTGGTGGCATGGTGATGACATGCGCAGCGCTTGTGACCACCGGCACTGCGCATCTCGCCACCACTCCATCAAATACACTCTAAATTGTGTGAAAATGGATTACGATGTGTGGCAGTGATAGTTGATTGTACCATTTGATGCTGGGGTCCCATCGGCGTGCAAGGAAGCTTTGGAGGATGGATGATGCTAAGAGGAGCAACCAATTCACTCATCTCCTCATGCTACGTGTTTATTTGTAGTGATTACGTACACAAGTGATGCAAAGTTAATAATCCTGTATACCACCACCAACTCGTCCATCACATAACGATACCCTTGGAATCATGTGTGCCTTTTGGGCATTGTGTCGACGACTGCACCTCTCCACAAGTATGTCTGCCTCAGTGTATTTATGTCCAATCAAAACCATAAAAATCATTGATTGGATAAAATAATGAAGGTAGTGGAACTTGCACTACGATTTCCAACCACAACACAGTTAACGCTCGAAGTGCTTGCAACCGCGGAAGAGACTGCAATCCGTGACAAGGCCGTGGCGTCCATCAACAAGGTCCTGGATGTCGTCACGGACGCGGCCGAGTTGGCGCTGCTGCTCATCAAGCGGCTGACCGAAGGCGACTGGTTCACGTCCCGCGTGTCCGCGCGCTGGATCTTCCCCGTCGCGTACTCCAAGGTCGACCCTGCGAGCAAGAAGGAACTGCGCGAGTACGTCCCTTTTAGGTGGGGCATTAACGTGCCAATACAAGGGGCAACACAGGTGAAAAGCACAATACTAGTACATCAATAACGTTAACGTTATTCGAAATATCTCGTCGGAAAAACGAAGTCAGTGAACGGTCGGTACTACGTCGCACCCTTGGCTTTGCAAGAATGGTGAGGGCTGTTAATTGTAAAGGCTGCTACAGTAGGGGTGTTGATTAATCTACCAACTATTGGTAGACGTGCTCATTGAAACTATTTCATGCGGAGCTTACTACGTTGTCGTACTTGCTGACAAGTTTAGCTACCAGGTAGAGTCGTTCTGTTCGCTACTGGTACCTTGAATGTACCAACAACATAAAAGCAACTGTGTTCAAAGGCATTTGATGCCGAACTAGGCAACAACACTATTAGACATCTCGTAATGAGGAACGTTGCATGAACCGTCGTAATCCATCGAGAGGAGCATACGTGTTCAAGAACAAGTGCAAACAGCACATTATATTACACTTCATCGACATACATTTGTTAGTGGAGGACTTCAGTGGCACTTCATGCCTCGCATTCGTGGATAGTTGGTAGGCTCGTGTATCGGTGGATGTATCGGCGAGCCACATGAATGGAAAATGGCACCCGCACACCAGACACTTTGATGCGTTTGGATTGGTACTCGGGGCATTCAGGGACAGGGGGCTCGACACGTCGAGGTCGAAAGAGCGTTGGTCTGCGGCGGCTTTGGCCAATGTCTTTCAAAATGGTTTTGATTTCGTTGATTTCGGCTTTGTACAAGTCCTTGGTGTGATACATGTGCCTGAATTTGGCGGACGCAGTGAAGTAGAGCAACAAGATCGAGTCGCGATGAACGTTCATTGTGAGTGTGTTGAGGGGAGTTGACGAATGCTCGAGAAGGTTGGTGTACATATAGAGGAACATGTCCCAACCCATGATTTTTGTACTACAGTGGTACTACGTACTCGCCACGCGCACACTACAGTAGTACCCAAACCTGAGAAATTGGTATTTGGACCAATCCGATTGCAGCTGTTTTAGTGCCAATGGGTATATCCCAATTATACACGTACTAGTATCATTTTAACTGGAGCCAATCAGTGATGCGGAATTTCATATTTTTGTTCAATAGAAATCATAACTATTAATGGTGCCAATTGGACAAGCGCCAATCACAGAACAAACCTCTGAATATGTATACTCGTAGCCATAGGTTAAAAAAATAATACGTCAACAATTGGCACACCTAACGTAAATGATCAATTGTTGATACATTTAAGAGAGGTGCCTCAGCAGAACCTTCAAATCTCCTCGATACACTTGATGCTTGTAGCTGAAATGCAGGGCTGCTTCTTCCATTAGAAAGTATTAAGTTTTGCGGTAATCAACACGGTCAAATTTACATTTTCCAAGCAAAATTACACTTATTTCGATGATCAATTATACTTAATCTATGTATACTCAAACGCTTCGAAAGTGCGTGTTTAGGGTAATTCGCTGATTTCTGCCTCCTGATTGGTTGCTTTGCGTATATCATAAATTGATCAGTGTATCATAAATTGATCATTTACGTTATAGCATCTATGAAGAGCTGTATACAGCTCAATTGTGCGAAATACATTGCGCGTTAATAATTGGTGGATTGCCCCGAAAATTGTCTACAATTTAGGGCACTTCGGTATTCAAAAACGATGCCTCAATCAAGAATTATAGCCATTCTCGGAAAAACAAAAAAAGTTGTATTGCAACAATTGGCATTATTCAACGTTAATAAACAATCACTTTGCAATACGAATACTACAGTATACAAATAACGTTACTATTAATAGTACTCCGGAGTACAGTAAGTTAGTAGCAGAGTAGTTTTTAACGTTATCAAGTCATCGTTCGAGCTACTGTGGTGGTGACATGATGACTAACAAAGTTACAAATCCGATCATCTGTACTCGAAACAACATTGTATTCTACGCACTCATGGATACCGCTACTTTTTAGTACTGTACTAAAAATAATCCTGTAGTTCTACCATACCCGTACACAATACTACTCTGGTCCGGTATATTTGTCCGCTTGTTTTGACTTCATTTAAGTATACCGAGCATGTCCAAAACATCTTATCTTTTGTATCGAACTCTAAAATATCATAACAACCAACATAAATTTAATGAATTTTTATTATACTTCGAGGTCCACTTACTGGTGGGAATTCACCAGTTCCTCCAGTTGAGACTCTTCTCCAAGGCGAAGATCCAATTGAAGTAGTGCGCCTTCAAGACTGGATGCATCACATTGAACATTATAGGTTGCTAAGTCGGCAATGGTAGCGTTCTTGTTCATGCGAGGAAGCGTGTAGTTATTACTTCCCAGCATTTCAATGGACGTTTGCATCACTTTTTGCAAGGTTATGAATGTTTTTGACACAGTGTCCATTGGCAACTCAAAGAACGCGGCTTTGACAGCATCAATTAGTTCCTCGATGGTTCGAGTACATTTTTGATGCTGTAGACTTTGAATAGAGTTAAAGAACCCTAAATCTAAGACATTAAAGTCCGGACTGTTCGGCGGCTGGTTAATCACACTGACATTTTGTACCCCAGAGCTACGTAGCAACGCCGTTGTAACATGTCGGTGAGGACTCGCATTGTCCTGCTGGATTCGTACACCTCGCCGCAGATCGCCTACGGGGAATCGTTCGCAAATTGCTGGAACGACCTTGTCCAACACGAACGACTTGTAAACGTCACTGTTGACATTTTGCGGCATGGTCACGGGGGCACCCTTGGGACGGTTCCTGCTTGTTCGCTTCGCCGCGACGACTTCAACGAACGGCCAGACGCCAATCTTGCCGTCAAAGAAGGTCTTCCTTGTGTGGTCGTAGCGGGGCCGTGCTACAGCGGCGAGAAACATGACCTTGGTGATAAAGTGCTTTGACTTCACCGACCGGGCTGCGACTTCCTCGTCGTCGTACACGTAGAATTTCTTCTTGACTCTTGTCAGATAGAACCACTTTTCGTCAACATGCACAACATCGTGCATGATGGAGAAAACAGTGGTCCCATCTGACAAGAGTCGAAGGAAGCTCCTGGCGAAGTCCAGTCTTGTGCGGGTGTTTTCGGCGGTCAGCATAGGCTTGACGTAGCTGAACCGGGCCTTGAGGCTGTTCTGCTCCTTCATGTGGCGGACGAGGGTGGTCTTTGGAATTTGGCTATTCGCAGCGAAAGCACGCAGAGTCTGCCGCTGGTAATGAGGGACACTCTGAACTGCGGCCTTGATTTCCTCGGTGGTTCGTGTTTTCTTGCGCCCACAATTCCCTAAACGAGTTAACCTTTAGAACACTATAATTACATGTGTTGATATATGAGACATGGAATATTAAATTAAAGGGGTAATACCCGTCATTTTTGTTGCGACGTCGGCAAGTCCATGGCTAAGGCTCTGAGAGAGCCGTCCTTGCTTCCAAATGCGTGCGATGGTCCTGGAATGGCAGTAATACCAACGTGCAACATCTTGGATAGCTCCGTAAGGAAGCTTGCCTCCAATACTTCGTTCGAGGAGCTGTTCGTACACGGCGCGACGCTCGGTAGGCTTAAGGTTCCTTTCGGTCCTCACGACATAGTTGTGCGGTGCTGTGAGCTCTGCGTGGACCTCAGGCATGCTTGATGGGGTAGTTATGCTTGGGACGATGTTTGAAGAATGAGAAATGAGTAGTGGTGGCTCCCCGGATGAATTTATATGTCGTGACCTGAGGGGCTCACTTTGAAGCGTTGTAATTTCTCGAGGAAAACGATTCGGAAAGGACAGAAACTAGCCAATCAATGTGGAGATCTTGCGCTTTCTTGTGGACCAATCCGCTGCTTCCAATAGCACTTTTTAGAAAAATGCCGCCAATGAGAAAACAATTGGACAAACATATCGGACCAGAGTAGTAACTACTGTACTCTATGATTTGTTTCGTCTGGGGTAGCTGAAGTAAGGACCGCAGATCAGATTTCGGAGAATAAAATAAATTCATATCGTACAAACTACAAGTAGTATTGGTAAAACCAAATTCAGACGCCAGAGTAGTTATTGTGAACACGAGGACCTAGCTATTAAGTCTGGGTAGGTATTTTGTAATATGTACCAGTAATAACGTTATTAATACCGTACTTGTACAACGTCAGTATTCGTTAATCCTTGGGATTAACTGTTTGGCCAATCGCGAGGTGCGACATGAGTATGCGCTGTACTTGAAGATTCGGATAGATTGTACTAGTACAATTCCCTTAGTAAACAGTACCACTGATTTTCTCAGAAGACACTTCAACTTGGGTGTTTATATGAAACCCATTATACTGCACAGTGACCTCCTCGCCTCTTACTAGTGAAGTGCGACTCACTGGTTAACGATAGCTAACCACTGGTGATGCAGATAACACCAGGGATTTAGCATCGTATGCACTTGTCAGCGGCAGGGACGGAGTGCTGTACCAGCCTACAGGGCTATGGGCTGTGGAAGGGATTTTTTTGGGTAAAATTAATGGTGGGCCTGTTGTTTTAATGAGGGAATTATTCCCAGGATTTGGTATTTAATATATAGTGTATTTAATATCTACAGACGATTAAAATACTACGTAGTACTGTATTTAATATGTACATGACGAATAAAATACTGTATTTACAGTTAATATCTACATGACGAATAAAATACTGTATGAGAAGTTCTCAACAATGATCAACTTGCACATGTGTCGCAACATGCTCGACAAGGAAATGCAATGTCAATTATTGGAGATTCGGTATGAATTTCCGGACCCCGTTCAATTGAATCTCGCCGAGCGAATCGAGCACCAATCTCTCCCATTGGTCCATCCGAAATTACTTGTCGCTGATTGGCTACAATCCATTTTCGAGTTTCTACTGGAAAGGACGTAGTGGATAATGACCAATCAGATGTCTCTGCTCTATTTGTGCTCGATTGAACGAACCATGCAATATTGGGAAATTTGAAGAAAATCGACAATAACAGCCCCACGTACAAAACAATCACCCAACTACGGTACAGTACTTGCAGTGTGCTCGACTCTCGATTTTACCAACGTTTGCGTTACATATTTATTTACTCGTGGCATCCAGACCCGCCCATAGTAAATTTTTATTTACTAAGGGCGGGTCTGGATGCCACGAAAAATGGCATAAAATGACCGTTTTTCGAAGAAAAGTTGCCAAAATCGAAATATTATTCCATATTTCGATATTTTGTGCGTCTGGATGCCACCAAAGTTCAAAAATTTATACCACAATTTTCTTGAGAATCGGGGGTTTTATGGCATAAAAAAATGGACCGATTTGGTCCAACTTTATTATGGAGGTTTGCGTTCACGTTGACAGTGAAATGCTGCACTTCACAATCAATCGGAAATCGAATATTTTTTCCAACATTTAGCTGGTATCCAGACAACTTTGTAGATTCTTCTTTTCTCCTTTTTCTCATGGGATATGAGACTTTGGGAAATTTTTGCAGACTTGCCAAAACAGGTAATGGCATAATTTTATGGGGTGGCATCCAGACCAGCCCTAACTAGTTAACATTATTGTTACGATTTTCGTGGCGCACTATTCTAAGCTAACCATGGTTTTGTACTTCAGCATGGGACGGTGCCTCAAGCGCTTCTTTTGCAAACTCGTAGGCGAGCCAACCTACACACACACCCTCCATCCGTTGCAAACTGGTACAATCATGGCATCGTCTTACCTAGCATGGTGGACAAGCCGGACGGGGCCATGCTTCGGAGCGACGGTAGCGGAAGAGTTCGAAGTTCCTGCCTTGCAGCCGCACTACACCAGACAAAGTCACTACTAAGCAAACAAACTACGAAATAACTAATCAAGCTCGTACAAGGATTGGTGCTCGAACGGAGCTGCAAAGTGCGTGGCTAGTTCCCCGACGAGTCCGGACGCGGCTGCCGCTCCCACGATGCACGCCGCGCCTTGGACGTCCGTGTGATCCCCCTCAACTTGATGCATCAAGAAAGTTTTCGTGGTTTCGTAGCTGGCAAACATGGCCAAATGCGTCGAGGTGTGGCTGAAGAGGACACCACGAACGCGAAATGGACTGCTTGCTTCGCGCTTGAACCGGGCCAATGCTGTCTCGGATACGGACCAGAGAGTTCCGTGCAGCGAGCCGGCGACCGTACCGGCCACGACCGACACGCCAAATGCCCACGGAAGCAACGTCTACGAGGCCATGTGATACACACTCGATGCGTTGACCTTGCAAGTGAACCTGCAGGTCAGATGCTGTAGATAGTGCAGGGGACGTAGCGACGAGGTGTGCTGTGGTCACTTCGTAGCTAGTCCATGTCACACTGCCTAAGCGACGTAGTATAGCACAAGCGTTTGTCAAACGTGGGGCACGTGTACCTAAGATGGTGGACCGCACGAGGTTGGGCACCCACGTTGTGGTGGCCCAGTGCGCCAGCTTGACAGCTTTGGCTTTGGACGACGTTTTCTCTGCGATTTGGTCCTTGGCTTCTTTGACGTACCCCGTCACGTCCATGAGGAAGCTGTCGATACATCAACATGCATGGACAGAATACCTGACTCGGTTCGCATACCTGAGGTTGTCCGATGCCGACGCCACCGCCTTCGTCGGCACCTTTGTTGTTCTGGGAAACGACCCAACGATGGGATTCTGTAGACGGATGCGCGTGATAGCCGTGCGCAGAGCATTCCGCATGGCTCCTCCCAACGCAGCTTCCCCGGAAGAGTCATCGTCATCCTCTGCATCCACGTGATTGACAGCAGCGCTGTCGCTCGCCATAATTATTGCGAGCTGTTCGGATACACACCATTGGGTATCCGGAGTGTTTATCACATGAGCCCAGCATTTCTTATTTGATTGTCAAGTCGATTCGAAAAACCTAACGTTAACTGTAAATCGACAGACTACCGACCGGCCAATCACAGGCCAGAACACTTTCAAGTGGCCAATCAAACTCCTGAAACTGTCGAATTAGTGTGTGACTTCAAATAATGTGAAATGTTGCAGTCAGTACAAAAAATCAACCAGTAGATTTGGAATTTTGGCTGAAAGCACAATCAATATAATTAATACCTGCGGTCTACGAATTCCAAGTTTCAGTATATTGGCCCTGGTTGTAACCTCCTTGCATTACCCTGTGGGATCCCATACAATACAACCACACGACAGCGCTGATTTAAACGTTAGTCATGATTCGGGCCATGCCAGACACCCAGATGGAACTGCCACGCACATTCGATATCTCCGCGCGCAGGCGGGAAGGGATACCCATATCGTCCCCTTGAACAACATCGATGACTCCGCCGTGCGGCCAGTCCAAATCACGAAGGTACCCTGCCAACGCAGCGGTGGCGGCACCAGTGGCCGGGTCTTCGTACACGCCTCCAGACGCAAACGGGTTGCGCGTGTGAAAACGCTGGGGCGACTCTGCAAACACGAGCACTATCGTGACCAAACCTGCGCTTTGCATCAGTTTCCGTCCCGCAGCGAGGTCGTACTTCATGGCTGCAAGCGTGGCCCGGCTACGAAGGGCCAGCACCAAATGGTCGGCGCCGCCGTGGGCGAGACCAGGTGGCAGCGTATTGTCCAGGTCGTCATAGCTTAGACCAAACAGGTTCAGAGCGTCGAGGACGAGATCCGAAGGTGCGGGTTGGCTGTGCGTAGCCGGCGACTGCAGCGCCACGTAGCAGCCTTCGTCAGAATTCCTGCCTTCCACGGAGATGGTAGCGTCGTTCAAAGTCAACGCGAAGATGCCATCGCCTTGCTGGTAGGCCAAGGCAGCACCGAGGGCAATTGTGGCGTGGCCGCAGAATGGGACCTCCGACTCGGGAGAAAAGTACCGGACACGGAATGACTTGTCGCCGGTTGGAGAGGCAAACACAGTCTCCGAGAACCCGACCTCCGCAGCGATACGCGCCATGTCTGCAGAAGGCAGGAGCGTGTCTCCGATCCACACACCAGCGGGGTTGCCGCCGACATTGCCGTTGGAAAAGGCGGCAATGTGGAGAACGTTGGTGGCGGTCGTGGTCATGATAAAAAATGCGCGATTTGTATATGAATGATGGTCGTATGAGTGAAAAGCACCTGCATTCCCACATTGGTGATCACAAGTGTCGAGTCCAGCACATTCACGATAACGTTACACGCTGTAAAGCGGACGCCAGGTTGGACGCGTTGACAACCAGCCATATCAAAGTCTATTTCGGGCTGTGCAATTAAGTGGTGCAAAAAGATGGGATACAGTAAGGGCCAACCAGAGCAAATTGGTTTGCTTGGATGATGATTTTGGTAGTGATGTGGAACTTTTAGGTCGGACGCTTCTTGCTTTTGAATTGGCAAACTGTGGTGCAGCCATTTCTGGACGCTTTTGCGTATCCACAGCAGTGCAGAGTTTGGACATGATTGATGCTGCCATAACATTAACTGTGACATATGTGGGCCCAGTCAAATCCGTGTTGCTTAGGGCAAATCCGTGTTGCCCTAAGCAAGGTTCTCGATTCGAATGATTCCGCCGCGCTCGTTGAGCCAACAACAGCTTGCAGACATGTCAAGGCGGATCGAGAAGTAAATTACAAAATAACGTAAGGTGTTTCGTAGGATGCGACGGTTGAGGCTATGCAGTGGAGGCTTGAAGCACTTGTAGACATACGGAGGCCACGTAGAACGCGCCAGCTAGGCAGAACCAGCTCTCGCAGTCCCGAAGACTGAAGGACGTCGAGTACAAATTGGCTTTGGTAGGGGACCCTTGTGGGTGACTGTAGGGGATTGCTTCGCCCGTTGCTTGCAGAGGCGGTGCGTGGTTGGTGGTGGTGGTGATGTTGGCCATGTTGGCAGTGGACATGAAAATGAGAACTGAAACGAAACGCGTGGTGCGTGATTTTGATTGATGGAAACTTCCGAGTGGTATCTTTCGAAGAAGCGTCGCGATCGAGAATGTAGGTCACTTCGTCTGCGAACCAATGAAAACACATGATTACGGCTTGTGCCACCAACCTGCCATGTCATCAACTCACTCATCTCTTTGCCTGATCGGGTCAAGAATTCCTCCATAAAACGCGGTGGCTTGCATTGAATGTCAGAGCTACCAGGTAAGGTTGCTGTACAATATCGTTAACTAGCTGAAATGTCTCCATCTCTACCGGTAGGTAGTGCGGGTTGACAAATAGTTGTCCGGCTCCATCATTCGGGGAACGACGGTATAATTGAGTGCTGATGACTGATTTGGCTTTTGGCTGTATGCAACACCAATTTATGATGTCGATGCGCTTCTACGGCGAGGCGGTAAAGCATGCGCGATGAACATTCTTGCGACATAACGTTAGACAGAAATCTCTTATACATACGATTCCTCGCGCGAACTCAGCCCGTCCTCCATACATTATACCAGTAGCATTCAAGCCATCAGCAATTACTACTAGTGTTGATTTGTCGACGATGTTACGGCTGTGCCAGTCAGCGTGGGCGGCTCCAGCTCGAAGGTTGTCCGGAGCAATTCGATCAGCTCGTCGCGCGAGGCAATGGTTTTCGACCGAATGGTATCGCCATGCTTCGTTTCCTTAAACTCGCGGTCAGCCAGGGTCAGGAATCCGGTCGTTGTTCGCTTGGAGCAAATGGGAATTTGGGTGAACCGGTTCTGTGCACGAGTCGAGCTATACCAGTTGGCCATCTCGTAGTCAACGTGAGCCAGCGTCGGGTTGGCGGAGAATACGTTCACAGGGTACACGGGATGGTTCGGGCCTCTTTGATATCACAACGCGTAATCGGTTGAGGAAAGTCCTTCGTCGGTATCGCTGTCTAGAGGAGCCGTACTCGACGGTGGTGGTGGTGTACATTCCCGACCACGTATCGTCGTGCATTTGCCGATTCAACTTTACACGGCGAAGCTCAAAGGATTCCCCAGAGGCCAACGTCGTCTTCTTGGCAGGTTGATGGCTGGTGGGCGGACGGCGGCACGGGGATGGGAATGGGGGACTCGCCGCGGCCACCAAAGCCAACGTCCCAAAGGAACTGGTCGCTCGTGTTGGTTGTGACGAGAAGCAGCATATGCGTCATCGCCTTGTCGAGGTACTTGCCATGGGCTACCTCCATCGCGGGAGTGACCACGTCGCCGCAAATCGTCTCGACGGCGTAGCCAAGCGCGCGCAACCTCGTCGTGAACAATGCATTTTGCTCAAAGCACCAACCACCACGACGATCCAGAACGAGCTTTTTGAATATCTTTGCAGTATGCAATGAAACTCGCTCGCCAATGGACGTGTCGGCGTGGGCCGGGTCGACGGAAAACACTAGGCAGGCCGCACGGTTTTCAAACGGAATGGCCTCGTGGTGGTGCTGCACAAGCATGGTTAGGTGGGCGATAGAGTTTGAGGGGCATTCAGCCAGTTGCTCCTTGGAGTGATGCATGCGAGCCAAGTACGCGTCAAGGTCGAAATGAGCTGGTATGGAGGAATTGGATTATGGCGCTGTCGTTGACCGTGAACATGCCGAGTGTCGCTGCAATTTGCATTTGCGCAAAATTGACAAACTAACGCCGCAGTAATTAGTTTACTGTATAATTTGACGTCGAAAAATGAAAATTATTTTCGAGGAGACTCCGATGTTGGTGCCACTTCCAACATTCAGGCGAAGTATTAATACTTCGTACTACATGTATTAATTAACAGTACCAAATTTCCGGATACTTCCTCTTGGATGTATCCGGATTACTTATATAGATATTTGGAGTAGCATCTCCAACGGTATTTTTTATTTCTTTTTCAATTCGAAGTTACGGATATAGAATATAAACTCTTGCACTATCCGGAGGGTTTGTTGCTAAAAAGTCCGGATAATGCCAAAATAGCAACCGTAAAAACGAAGTTTGACTTTAACCTATGCTTTAGCAATAGGTTAGAATTTACCGTTGGAGATGCTCTCTAACAGTAAAGTGGTGGCAATAATGATATGACAATGCACGATTTCATCGGTTCCTCTTCTGTGGTTGGTCAAAACGAAGCAAAAAGCTAGCCAATCATC